CGCGTGTCGCCCGCCCGGCGCACCCCGCGTCTGCAGGAGCCGCCGGCCGCCAGGGCGCCCCCACCCGCGCAGAGCGGAGCAGGTGCACCCTGCCGCGTCCCCAGGCGCTCGTTACCAGCCGGCGCTGCAGGCCACACCTGGGGCCCTACCCCCACGCCCGCCAGAGCGTCTGTCTGGGCAGAGGGGGACTCTGGAGGTTCACAATCATCACTACCGAGGCGTGGCGGTGGCACCGGATCCCACCCACACACTGAGACGCTTCTGGACACACAGACAGAGGAGGATGCCTGCAATGCTACTGACCGTGGTGGGGGCGGGAGAGGGTGACAGTGTCTCTGCAGGGCCTTGGGGACTGAGACAATTCTTACGGTCCCTGTCCACGGGGAGAGAAGGACATTGAAGCAAAACAGAACCCGAGGAGCACAGAGGGGCCTCTGATCTTGACACCTAAAGTGAGGCGGGTGGGGGTGTTATATGGAGTGGTCAGTCAGCCAGCCAGGGCAGGTGACAAGAGTGAGCAGGGCCTTGGGCTAGGGACAGCTGGAGTAAAGGAGGAGGTTCTGGAACACTAGCCTGAGTCCCCCTCTTTCTTAGACATCCCCTGCCCCATCCGTTTCTGGAGACACCCAGGAATCAGCCTTGTCCAAAGAGCTCCTCTATCTGAGCAGGAAGCCAGCCATGGTGCTGGGGGCTCATGGGCTTGGGTGGGGACTGTCCGCCTTGGATCCCCATCTGTCCACAGTCTTTCCAAGGCAGGATCCTCCTAGGTGGGGCTCAGGCACCTCTACTGGCCCCCCTCTGCTGCTTCACTGTAGGAGTTGGGGGGCATTAGAGAGGTCACTTGTCCCCGAGCTGGGGACAGTTCCAGCCTCTGGTGGCCCACAGACTCCATGGATGCCCACCCATCCAGAGAGGGCAGCCAGACCCGGGGCCAGTGTGGCCCTACCTGTGGGGGGGGGGTCACTAGGAGGCAGATGGTGCCCAGGCAAGGACAAGGGCCCCCTCCAGCTCCTGCGCCCCAGCTCATCCTGGACTCTGCCTCACCTGCAGTGCGAATGGACTCAGGTGGCGGTGTTTGGAGGCTCTTGGCCCAAGGCCAACCCCCCACCCTGCCAGACACCCAGCTAGGCCCGAATGGGGAAGAGGAGGAGAGGTACTCTTATCTCCAAGAAAGCAGAAATAGACCTGTTTGCACCTCTTAAAAATGGGTCAATGACCCTGTCGCATGGGGCCTGAAGAGTCTGGGTGCAGCTCATGAGGTCTGGGGTGGGGCTGGCTGAGCAGTTGCAGGAAGGAAAGAGTAGGAATGGGTCTGAGCCCAGAGGCCACTGCGAAAGTGAGCCACCCGCCACTTCCCCAATGCTCAGGGACCCACAACAGGAAACCTAGGATACAGGTCACATGGTGTCACACACTCCCAGGAACGTCAACCCCAAGTACGGTGCTGACACAGCACTAAGCCAATGTAGAAAGGCCCGACACACTCGAGTGCCAGCGCCCCAGAGTGTCGGCCTATGCCCAACCAGAGGGATCACGCAGCCAGCGTCACACCAGCTGTGGCACCCACGCAGGCTGTGCGCGGTGCCGCACAATCAAAGGGTCACACTCCTGGGGCAGTCAAACCCCTCGCCTGACCCCACAGCCCCAGCCACCACTGGCCCCTGCACTTCCTGAGGGTGTCACACATGGGGTGGGCGTTACAGTGGACCCTAAACCACTGCAGCCCACCCCAGTCCACAAGTCTCTCCCGGAGACCCTCCCCATGTGAGCCCGCCCTCCCTCCGGCTCCTCTTGTCTCTCAGAGCCCGCCCCCGCCACAGCTAGCTCGGTTCCCCTCACAACCCCCGTGGCCGGCACCTCCGGGTCCCTCCTCCCCTGCCCCGGGCTGCACGGGTTTCAGTTTCCCGGGACGTGGGTTGAGACTCTTGGTTTGCCCCGCGGCCGTGGGAGGGTTAACTCGGCGCGGGGCGGGGCGCGGCGCGGGGCGGGGCGGGGCGACTTCGGCAACAGCGCAGGCCCCGCCCACAGCCATGGCCGGCGGCCCAGCGGACCCCGGCGGGC